TTAGCAATCACCATTTTGACTGTCGTTAGTGCGGTTACTATTTCGAGTTTGAAAAATAAAACTTCACAGCAAATAGACAGTGAACTTTTTTTTGACGACCTCCTATTGAACCAACCCTCAGTCTACAGTCTATCTACGCTTCTTCACAGTGATCGAACACTCAGTTTGTCTTATCCTATTCAACACGAGCTGTCGTTTGTCGTAGCGAAAATCGCACCGTACTTGACGTCAGACAGTTTCTGAGAAACCAGCAATAAAAGGTAAAACGCTTACTCAGGGCGAATGGAAAATGATGTTACGTCTGAAACCTTTCATCCGTGCACAAATCAGATTCATGAATGACCGGACAATGAATAAACGAACACTGCCTGTATGATCTCCACGAACAATTTAAAATTACATATTTAGGCTATCAACAATGGGCTTAAAGACGATGAAAAGAAGAAGAAAGTACTCGAAGTTTACTACGCTCATCAATGAAAACCTACAAGCAATAGAATATAACACTCGAACAGTGTTGTAGCGATATGTACTCGAATAAAAATACTTTCATGTAAATGATAAGAGGAATTGCTTGTTACTCCTTTGGCCACGATAGTCGAGACACTGTTACCTCCACCCAATATGTGTTTAAGGTAAAGTGGATGTACGTGTGTGTGTGTGGTGTGTGTAGTGTGTGTGTGGGGAGGGGTGGTGTGTGGTGTGGTGTGGTGTGGTGTGGTGTGGTGTGGTGTGTGTGTGTGTGTGTGTGTGTGTGTGTGTGTGGTGTGGTGTGGTGTGGTGTGGTGTGATGTGTGGTGTGGTGCGGTGTGATGTATTGTGGTGTGTGTGGTGTGTGTGGTGTGTGGTGAGTGTGTGTGGTGTGGTGTGGTGTGTGTGTGTGTGGTGTGGTGTGGTGTGGTGTATGTGGTGTGTGGTGTGTGTGTGTGTGGTGTATGTGTTGTGTGGTGTGTGTGTGGTATGTGTATGTGCGTGGTTGGTGTGTGTGGTTTGTCTGTGTCTGTGTCTTGTGTGTGTGTCGTGGTGTCTGTGTCAAATGGCCTATCAACCAACACATATGAATGATTCACTGTACATAACTATCTTTCAATGATGACAGAGCCCATAGATGTCAATTCTGTGTTTATTTCCAGATTTATAAAGTGGATAAAGTACAGGGATAGTTACATGGCATAGTCTGATGAGAAAGATTGCAAGTGTCATCACGCAGATAGGGATTTTCGTCCTGGAGGTCCATATTTGGCTGGACTCCTCATATATAGACGAGGTGTTTCTTTAGTGTTGAGCTTCTGGTGTCAGTGGGATGACGCTGTTTCGGTTCAGTGATGTGCAATTTCTTGGTGTATGTTTTCACTATGTGAACAAGTCCTGTTTTATTGTAACTCGGCATTATCATTGAGGTTTATATGTGATCGCTGAGACTGACAGAGGTCAACTAAAGGCGTGACACTTGAAGTGAGGGGTTTTCATCATTCTTGTTCACTCAGTTCATCCTCCACTTGAGAAGCATCAGATTCCATGTCACTGTCTGCTTCAGTCATGTCTACGCGAGTCAGAATATCGTTCATGATGGGTTTCATGAAACGTTGGATCTTGTCTTTGATGACCGTTTGTTCAGTGCTCGGATCCATCTCCGTCAAGCTGTCTAGGATGGGTTGGAACAAGGGTGCCTCTGCAAAATAACGGGTAAACTCAATGGCACAGTTCAACGTGTTTGCCAAATCATTTTACCACACAGTATGTAGTTTTCTTTTGACCCATTCCTCCGATTTTCCTTGTTGCCTGTAGTATTTCTTCTTGAGCTTCATGTCGTGTATGTTCCTGTCATACACCCTATTGCATATACGCTGTAAACACACGTTTTGCCACTCCTTTGCATCGAGGTCATGCCATTTAGATTTAGTATTAACATCAACACCCCCTTTCTGCATGGGCAGCTCTTCGTCACTATCATCATCATCGTATCGTACACGTTTTCTCTTAGACTTAAACTCGTTTTGGGGGCACCATGTTTTGATATGTTTCTGTAAATCATGCATGTTATCTATCAAGATGCCACAGTCAGCGCATGCAGTGGCCGTGGTGAAAGGTCCCAAGTCCTCACTGGAAGTGGATGCTGTCTCCTCGTCAAGATCGTAAGATCTTTCATCTGGTGTGTACTGCTTGGATGGAAGTTCTTGGACCATTTGCTGCTCTGTTGATGGAGAGCTCCCTTTTAACTCCTGCTGATGTGAACCACACTCAGAGTCATGATTGACCATGTTTCAATATACTGGCATGCAATCTGTTCTTCTCACTCGTGCCAGGTTTAAGATGTACTGTCAAATGTCCATAAAGAGTTTCAACAGCCTTTTCATAAAGAGTCATAAATTTACTGATGTCTTCAGGAAATTTTCTTCTGCCAAAACATTTCACCTGCTGTCTATCCACGGGTGAATTGAAAAGTGTCACGTAATGGGCATTCAAAGCAATGTCACGTGATTCCTTGCCTCTCGGGAACAGGTTTTGCAATAACAAGAAGATAATGACATTTTTGTGGTGTGAGGTTTGAGTAAACAGTCGGGAAATCCGCTTGTCATTCTTGGCCTCAAATAAAAAATCATCCAACACCATCATGTTCTGGTTACTGGCATCAAAGTTCTCATCGTTGTAAGGTATCCCTTTCACAAACTGTACTTGGGGTAGAGTTTTAAGAATGGTATGGTAAAGGGGTTTGCACACAGTGTAACACCATATGATATTGTTTGGTCGTGGATTGATCCGTCCTCTCTGAAGTATCTTATAGACAAACATAGACTTACCACAGCCGGACGGACCTACTGTCACTGAATTTGAAGGAATGTTGAATGTGAAAGGTGGTGATGGTGTTACGAGTGATGGCGGTGGCGATAGAAGTGTTGGCTTTTGTGTCGGAAGTGTTGGCTTTTGTGGAAATACCAGGGTCGATGACTCTGGAAGGGATGAAGACGATGGTGGGGGTGGCGGCGGCAGCGACGGTGTAGATGATGCCATACGAGATTCTGATAGTGGTACCTGCCTTATGGGTAGACTATTCACATCTTTCCTGCTATGAATAAGCCTCTTGTGTCTGAACAGAGCATCCTTTCTGGACAATGTTTTACCACATCCCTTGCAAGATACCCTCCCATTCATCATGAGTCAGAATTGTCATCTGTCCTATGAAACAGCTGCAACACTTATTTTATACACACTCCTTCATACAGGCGTTCATGTCGTCAGAAAAAGAGTCATGTTCACACACTATGTGTGACTGAAGATGTATTTCGACAACAAAGCACTACAGCAGTTCATCAGAGTTGTCTCCATTTCTCTCATGGTGGTTTGGGTTTTTGATTGATTTGGATTTGGTACGTTTTCTTTTCTTTACCAGTGGAGGAACACCCCTTCCTGTGAATAGGTCACCCGACTCGAAGATTTCCACTGAACGTCTCTGATTTTTCCTATTCGTCTTCATGTTTTCTTACAGTGATGTCCGACCAGCAGCAATACTTGAATGTAAATGAAACTTGCAAGAAGCAACCCTTCTTTTTATTCTGTTGATGACAGAGACAAGAAGGAAGTTGCTCTTGGTTTCACTTAAGGCTTCGTTCACAACAACGATTGGTACGTGCCATATTGTAAAAGGGCACCTTTTACACAAGACACACACCACACACACACACACACACACACACACACACACACACACACACACACACACACACACACACACACACACACACACACACACACCACACACACCACACACACACACACACATAGACGTTTTCCCAACTCAACTCGACAGTTGAAAATGGAAGGGCAAACGAATGTACGCATGCATTATATCAAGAAATAAGTTTGAAACTCATTGGCTGTTGAAAGGGAAAAGTGAGCCGATTGGTTAGATAACCTTTTGGCATCATGTCTATAATTAACATTTAAAATGATTGGTTTTGGTTTATTATCTTTGATATCATACTTTTATGGTTGTTCTTTATAAATACATGTTTGAAATTTTTAACTGGTTCTTGCCGTGAATAGCTGGAAAATTGCTGATGCGGCATAAAACAATATTCATTCATTCAATCAGGTTTATTCATGTTAAGATATCAACCCCGACTACATTCCACATAGCTAGCATTCCTAAAGAATTCCAAATAGCTGGCATTTCTAAAGAATTCCACATAGCTGGCATTCCTAAAGAATTTCTCAACTATGACATTTTAACAAAGGCCGCATTCTTGACATGCATGCATAATGACTCCGTTCTCATTGTAACGTTATGCATGTCTATTAGCATAACACTAGGCTCATTCATAGGGCGCTGGAAGGCGCTGTACATCCACATTTACTCCTACTATCATTTTCTAATGCACAAATGACATCTTGTAAAAAAAAATGTGATTATGCTTTGTTCTACTGTGGGGAGGGGTTACTCCTTAAATAAGCCTCTTTTTAATGGTTGCCCACAACTCCATCAACTCCACTTACTCACTCACTCACCCATTCACTCACACACCCACACACTCACCCACACACACACCTAATCACACACTCGCTCAGAATATTCCTTTGACATAATGCCTTGAAACTGATTGATGTTGTCAACATCTGCAGTGCATATTAATACTGAATTTGATGTGTCACTTATGAATAATGACAAAGGGGAATTAAATGATTTGCTTATTTTTAATTATTTTTTAACATCCTAAAACGTGTGCCTTTTATGCGTTAAATATGACATATAAATACATGTGCGCAGTTTACTAGTTTTATGCAAGCATACACTGCAGCCTGCACGGCACGTCATAGCGGACGCTTCCTGGTCATCAAACGTTCCCCACGCGTTTCTCCCCATGTGCTGACAACCAACTTCCAAGACCCTTCTCCCCGGGGGTGCTGCATACAGCTGATACTAGTATTTGTGCAGTGTTCATCCTCTCCACTGCATATATATAAATACATGCTGAATAACGAAATCATAGCGCTGTAATAGATGGTACTTGCCCGATCAACTGAAGGATATTGCCCCAACCGATTCTTTCACGTGATGAAGTTCTTTGTTTGTGCTGTTCTTCTGATGGGTAAGTGTTGAGCTGCATATCATACCCACATGGAGCCGTTTTATAGAATAGTTGTAAAGGGTGAATTCCCAGTTACAAGTGAGGACAAGTTTTGGCGTCCCTCGCCGTGGCATTACTAGAATATTTCTAAAAGCCCCACCTATACACTACACCTATATTGTCTTCAACAAGACACTGAAGAATTCAACCGGTGTATATCCGGGCAGAGTATATGGCCTCTGATCCGGGTTAGAATAGGTCTTTAGCAACCCATGCTTGTCGTAAGGGGTGACTAACGGGATCTGGTGATCTGACTTGGTTGAAGCATGTCATCGTATCCCAATTGCGTAGATTGGCGCTCATGGTGTCAGTCACTGGATTGTCTGGTCCAGGCTCGGTTATTTACAGACAGCCGTCATATAGCTGGAACATTGCTGTATGTCCCTTTTTACAACAAACTGAAGAATTCGCCCTTTACACATTATAAAAAGAGATGAAATGGGGTTTAACGTCGCGTTCAAGATTTATTGCACATGTGTGTGTGCGTATGTGTGTGAGTGTTTGTCCGGACTAATGTTATAGTGCTATACTACTGCCAAGAAGTTCATTCCCCTTACAAGCATGGGCACCGCGTTACGCACGGGTGTGCACCCCGTTCGTCACTCGCGTGCAACGCTTGACACACTCATTAGAGGGGGAACAAACTTTTGACCAAAGGAGGACCCATGTTAAGCTGAACTTGGTGGTGGTAACAATGAGAGACGAAAAATGCTAATACACATGTTATTTTTTTAATTTGCTGATGTCTCATTTTTAGATGTGTGATTTTGCAGGAAAATATGAGTACTGGTGTGGCTTCTACATGGTGTTTTGCGATGGTGTCAAGAGAATACACGATCCCAGTAAATGTTATTGCCATTCAAATGGGTTTTATTCTGATTTGACATTAAATGTCTGCAGTACGACTTTCAGTGATTATGTTTATGAGGTTTGGCGGGGCATTGGTTTTATTGGACCCTAATTACTTTATGATGGTTGGGTCTCTTTGTCTCAGCTCCATAGCCGTGACGCTGGAAAAGAGCAGCATTTAATTAATGAGAGTAGGTTATATCATGGAAGATACACTTGAGGGAGAGGGTTCTACTAATTACCGTACCACAGGAAGAGACCTGTAGACTACCGCGGGGTTGTGTATAAGATGGCCGGCAGGAGAGGTAAACATTGAACTAAAGCACTTTTGTTTCCATGGGCTTGTTGAATAGTTTCCCAGCGCTACTGTCAATATATCTTCTACTTGATCCTTGATACATCATTTTGGCATTAACAATATATTATTTTCAACGTACATTATTAGTAGTAGTCATTTGTTTTTGAGTATTTGTCAATTGTGTTTAACTAACAATCAATAATGGTCATACATGGTGACATGTAAATATAAAGCGTAAGTACAATAGTAAATATAAATATTCAAATCGCATAAAAATACAATTATAACAAGATACATATGTAATTCTAAAATCTGTGTTCCACATTCAGAGCCAAGCGGAAAACTGATTAAATAAAGGGAAGAAGCTTGTCCTTACACATATGTAGATACATCGACCGAACATGACTATATATGTAAATGTTAACATACTGTACCTATCTACACGAACTGTTATAAAATGTGCATAAGGTCACGGAGACGAAGGCTATAGATATCATACCTTCTTCGATTTTTTAGATGATAAAGTACATTATTTGATAAATTCTGTTATTGATATCTAAAATTCGATTTGCGGTATCAATAAACATATCATGGTATAATAAAACCATGTTTGTGATATAAATTCATTCTTTGGTACCCATAAATAAATTATTTATATAAAATATGGAATAAATACTTAAAAGGCGCCCTATATATTGTTCTTTGTGGATTGTATTGAGTAACGCGATTGCATCACGGTTATCAATGGATATAGTGTTAATTGCTAGTCTTTTTTCTAAGCCATCAGTTTTTTCATCTTTTCAAAAACTGTTCACAAAATGGCAACTTACAATTAACCAATGAAATTATACTGACCCGACCTGCGTTTATTCATCTTTCTGTCATTATTATAGTTTACATGTGTCTAGTTTCAAGTGTATATACTTAAACTATACATCGTACAGATTAAGGAATCACACATCATCGCAACATCTAATATATACATGTAGCACAACGGTACTTTGATTCTGTAGCACAAAAACATCACACACACACACCCCTCCGAATCACTGTGTAACGGTAAACCCGTCGTTTTCAGACGTTCCATGACGTTCCAGGCGTGTGTGCGAGTGTGTGTGCGGGTGCGGGTGCGGGGTTGCGTGTGTGCGTGCGTGTAGACGAAATACAAGACTGTTAAGTCGACGTCTAAGCTATAATTGATGATGATAACATATGGATGTTATTGTAACAAGCGCAGCGTGTGGAAATTTTAATACGTTGGACCCAGTAACATGTTTCAATACCTTTTGAAACTGTAAAGTGAGATACATTTAAACGTTGTAGCATATAAACACTTGAATTGAAAGGTCAAGAAAAAGATATATTTCTTATAATAGAAGGTCCACAAGGGTATTCGGAAAAGAACCGTAACTCGTTACGACAAAAATAGTTCTCTTGACATTCAATACTGGACATTTCCCCACACCCAATTGCAACTTTTTAGTTAACGAGAGGATATTTGGTGGGGGGCTTGACGTATCTTTTCAGAGGGTGTTATTCTGACATTACCCACTATTTATTGGTGGATACTGGAAATGAATATAGACTGTCATGTTGTATGACTGTTGCAAGGATTTGTTATCTTAACAATCACTGGGTGTGACCATGTGGACAGTTTCACATTAGGGGTTGTGATTTTTACAATTGCCCAAATGATCCTGCTGAGTATTGGACAACTTTCAACTCGTGAGATTTCAGTGAACTTGGCAAGTGTTGGTGAATTGTGATATTCATATTATCATAACCTGTCAAATTGTACATAAATTTGTGTTTAAATCATTAATATTCAAAGGGACTGTTCCCTACACCCGTCCATATCTTAATTAATAAACATTATTTATTGTATGGATTATATAAAGATTTTATCTAAGTATATGTATAAGTATATAGTTTATATAATGAATGTTGCAGTCAGTGGATCTTTCAGTTTGCTTACTTACTGTTGGTAATATCCGTTTTCTTTTGGCAAATAAGGGGATAGTTAGTAACACTGAAATACGATATACAACTATTTTGTTTCACAGCTATCACGAAATCATTCGACACTGACACCGCATCAAACCCCGCGGTAGACTGGACACAGTTATGTGCGCACCGATTATATACTCCCTACCGACGGGGTGGGGTGGTGGTTCGGTCTGTTGTCTAATAAATGCTGGGTGGTACCTTTGATCTCGCCTCCAAACATGCATGTAGTAGAAGTAAAAGATGATCAGGATGGCCTGGAAATAAACAAGAATCTTTCTTGTTGCATATCAAGGCACCAATTCATCTGTCATTGGGGTTTTGTGATGTATGTGTAGCCAAGCCACAATTAACTAGAATGTTTCATGTCTACAAGCCAGGTATTTGCCCACACCAAATATTTCTTTCCTTAATTGCGTCAGTGTGGTTTATCAACACTTGTATAATGCTTGCGTCAGTTTGGTTTATCAACACTTGTGTAACGCTTGCGTCAGTGTGGTTTATCAACACTTGTATGACGATTATTTTTTTGCTTAGTTGCGTCAGTGTGGTTTATCAACACTTGTATAACGCTTGCGTCAGTGTCGTTTATCAACACTTGTATCACGCTTATTCACGCTTGGTGTGGCAGACTGAAATTGAACATTATGATAGCGTCAGCAGGGATAATAGAGGTCATAAGACACATCTTTATTTGCTTTTCAGACTACAGACAGTGGCATACGAAGATCATACATATATATGTTTAAGTTACTTCTTTGATAGGCGTGTAGAAGCTGCAGTACTAAGTAAGGATAAGATTTATGGATGAACAACTTCTTTATTACAATTAAGAGCGACGTTTCGGTGTTGGTAAACTTGCTTGATAGCGGTGTTAGAACCTACACCGAAACGTCGCTCTTAATTGTAATAAAGAAGTTGTTCATCCATAAATCTTACCCTTACTTATGTTTAAGTTACATGGGCAGAAGGCTAGATTATTTACATCAATACAGTGAAAATATTGTGTTCAATAAAAGAAAACTTTGATCGCTTTTAACACCTCTTTTTTGCACTATTAAACAAACTGTGCACATATTCACTTATTGTAATAACATCTAGGTAACAAATAATTTCTATTTTTGAAATCCACGAGCATAATTGTTGTCAAACCTAAAAACATAATCAGGGCGACCAGTTTTGACTTGCCAAGTGCCTTAAAGTGAGTTTATTCTTAAACATGCCAAAAGCGATTGACAATATATAGCTGGGAATTGTCTCTCGCACGGTTATGGGTAATGACGTATTGTATAATATTACTGTTCAAATTAGTTGCTGTCATTTACTCCAGCGTCAAGCGTCTCAACATGACCATAACTTTGGTTATATATCAACTCCCTGTCTCTTTGTCTTAAGTGGTTAATCGGTAATTGCAGTCCAAATTTATCAACTTATTAACCCATTGTTGCAAACGTGACTGATTTGTTTACACAATAAGAAATGTAATTGATCATGAACTACTGAGGCAGTCGAGCACCTGTATAAGAAATGTAAACGCAGCCATGTTACATGTAGTCCAAAGGTATTAAACTTCATCCAATATATAGCTAAGCTTGAATCTATGAAAGCTAGCATGTGAATAAACTCAGTTCACTGAAATTTAAATAATTAAAGCACTTTCAGTGACCAGTTAACAAGTAATCAGTGAGATGGTATATAAATACTGGGAACGCCAAACAATGTCATTGTAAATAGACATATGCACCTGTGAATGGCGTGGTGGCCGTAGCCTTGTATATCAAAGTTTCAAATACCGAGTGAACCAAAGACGAGGTCCCTGCATACACTGGAAATGATGTATCCTGCATGTCCAGCCACCATCAATATCTCTAGTGATCTTTTCGCGATTCCGAGCCTTGCGCAAACCAATGTCACCACCTGGTTGAGTGGCTTCCTTCCATCAACGTGAAAGGATTACCCACAACCAATTTCCTCTAATAATAAACTGTTACCTTTGGTATCCCTTGCAATACTCATTATGGTCATTGGACAAATGTTAACATCACAAACCCTAACGAGATTCTGTGTACATGGTCACACCCGGTGATTGTGAAGATCTCAAATTCTATCTACCCTGGCAATAAACTCGCATCCAAATTCACTACTGTTGTACTGTCGGCTGGTCCCAATGGCTGGACTGGACCCTCGTTGTATGGGCCATGCCATAAAAGTCCAGCAACCGAACACTAATTAAGACGGGCCGACCTTGTTTTTATGGTCTGGTGAACACAGGTCAATGGCTCCTCATTAACTGAAGATTCACATCTCACTGTTCATTTGATACATTTGTCAAATTCAACTGAAACCTGGTCCCGTGTCACATGCGTGTTACACGCGTTCTCAACGCGTGTAAGGGGAATGAACTTCTAGGCAGTAGTGTTGACCACCGAGCTACCATGCCGCAGTTTAACCTGAATATCCTATTCAGACACAGTTAACTAACTCCGAACCGACCAGCCCCTCTTGTTTCAGCCCCTTAATGTTAGGGAGGGTAACAACGCGGCCGGGGATCGAACCCCGGACCTTCCGCTCTCTGGGCTGGCGCTCTACCCCCAGACCACGGAGGCGGTCAGAGCATCTATGTTTATTTATTAATTTCAATATTTTCTCCCAGCTTGCTTTGCTGACTTCTCGGATGCCTGTTGTTGTCAAAACAGTCACACCTCCTCCCATCACAGTCGACACGGCATCCCTATGCCCATCCCCTACCCCGTGGGCGGAGGCAGCAGCAGCGGCAGCAGTCATACCAACTTCCTTCCCATCATCCTCACCACAGCCGGCTGATGAAATCGCAGTAAGTCTGACATCGAAGTCCGCATTAGATTATCAATGACCTGCTACATGTATTACAAGGATGAGCAGAACCGTGACGATCAGGGTTATAATAGGTCTTCAGCAACCCATGCTTGTCCTAAAAGTCGATTAACGGAATTGGGTTGTCAGGCTCACCGACTTGGTTGATGCATGTCATCGTATCCCAATTGCGCTGATCGACGCTCATGGTGTCAGTCAATGGATTGTCTGGTCCAGACTCGATTATTTACAGACCGCCGTCACCTCAGAACCTCGCCCCTAAGCTGCCGAGATCCACCGGTTGTAGTTCCAATATTCTGTCCGATTGTGATTATTATTATTAGGGCCATCTTCTGTCAGCAGTTTATCAATGCTGGATAATGTTATCAAATTACGTCACTTTATGCGCTGTCCTTCTACACACATCAGTGTGGCTGATCTTGAATACTTTTCGGATCAGCCTTACAAACCTAACCGCTCACCACTCACATTGTGAAAGGATGCTGCATTACGATTGTCCATTTGAAGTATTATCTAAGCTATACCCTTATAAGTTGTTGGAGAACCGGTTGGCTCACCTGTATAGTACCCAGAATTAGCCGTCAAGAGTTGCGCCCCTTAGACGTTCTAGGATCCGCTGATTCTGTTATAATCATAGAACAATACTTACAAGAGGAAGAGAATATATGGATGTCAACTTCTTTATCATGAGGAACACAACGTTTCGGAGTATATGCTTACTCCTTCATCGGATGGAAACGTTGTGTTCCTCATGATAAAGAAGTTGACATCCAAATATTCTCTTCCTTATGTGTATCACTTCTTTCATAGACCAAAACAATACTTACGTTTAGTAAACGTCAACGACCTTCAAAACCTTGGTGTTTCGCCAACTAAAATTAATATGAACTGTTGTGATATAATTGAAATTCCCTTTAAATAGGTTTTAACACAACCGCACTCATTACCTTATCATAACACCTTTTTGTGTTGTTTAACCGACCCATGTAGATCCGGGTATAATTGGTCTTTAGCCACCCATGCTTGTCGTAAGAGGCTTGGTTAATGTATGTATCGTATCCCAACTGTGTAGATTGGTACTCATGATGTCAATCACTGGGTTGTCTGGTCGTGACTGTATTATTTAAAGACCGCCGTCATATAGATGGAATATTGCTGAGTGCGGCGTTAAACAATAAACAAACAACAAACAATGTGTTGTTTTTCTTTGTTTCAGGTGAGCAGTGATGGCCTCCTAGCACACGTCACATGTTCGCCATTGAGTGTATGTCAATAAACTCAATAGGTGCACTCTGTGAATTGTTCTATGGGTTATTTTTTTCAGAATCAGTATTGGTTGCCATGGTTTTCATGCAACACAACCTGCATGCATTCACTATGAGTGGTGCCTAAATGCCTAATGGTGAGTGCGTTAGCTCGTCATGCCGAAGACACAGATTCGATTTCCAAAATGAATCCCAAAACTCCGCTGTGCTATTTGACTTACTCCGCATCAGTATCGTTCAGATGTATCAACACCAGATGTATCGCCAGAGAAACAATGTCTACACCAATCAACGACAGTGTTTTACAACAATGCATAGCATGTACAATGAATGCCAACCATTCACAGATCTTCTCAGCTGAAGAAAAATACCGAGCAAGCAGAATTATGCAGTTATTAAACATCACATATCATTACAAACAATAATAGTAAATCTAAAAATAACTGGATAGTATGTTAGTCATTATGTATTTAGTCGCAAGATAATGTAGCTAAAACAACAGGACCATTACTAAAATACGCACTCACAAACAAGGCTGGAATACCTGGGCTCAATCGTAGCGCCACCAGTGGCTTTTACGAGTTATGTCCCTTCTATGTCCCTCCTCACGTTACTTGCATTTGCTTCAAGCAAAATGGTGGCGCCCAGTCAAGACGATTTGATCGAAAATCAAAATCTATATAATGATAAAACGGGTCTTACTTCGCGAAGTCCATAAAATCACGTGAACACCTTGATTGAAAACATTAAAAGATTTGGAAAATATCTGTTGACGCCGAGTTGGCAGTACACATACTTTGCAAATCCTGCAATCGACCGAAATCTGCACGGAAGTTTTTGAACCGGAAGTCGATTTCGTTACTCGATTTTGATTGGACTATGCATAGCCTCGTTATAGTCCAGCCGAAATATAACTCCATAATTCAAGTCTAGTTCGGCAAGGGTGACTTTTATAGTCACTTAACTCCCTTCCCTCGAGAAGATTGTGTTTACCTGGTGGGTGCTACCGACATGACATGCTTATCCATTTCGAGACGCCTGGTGTCATCACTGTTTTCAGTGATCCATTCATATAATTTTCACCGCTTTTTTTCCCTTTTACGCCAAATGAAATCTGTTTCGGCGGATGATCGAGACTGGTTATTCTCTGGAGCTGACCTTTTCTATTTAATAAAAATGATCAAAACCACAATAATAGCGAACAACCACATTTATTGATATAGCGCACAGGTCAACACGTGTCCGACTGGATCTTGGAATGTAGAGAAACGCACATCCTTCAAATACCTGCAACACAACAAAACAGAGACATATACCGTCACATTTTCATTGTACCATCCATATTGCAGTTGGTCATATTACTGTATAAGGGCCGATTGCCCAGTCCATCTGGACTAAACGACTAGATATGTTAAAAGAAACATCACACTTTGGCCATTTGTTGCATTGTCGCATTGTCGCGCTTTATCTTATCTTATTTATTTTGCCAAAAGGACAAAACGACAAAACGACCCCATGTCAGGAACTTAAACCTAACGTGAGTCCTATGTGTAAGGCACAATAAAAGCAATGTCCGTTTTGTATTATGCCACTTAGTATGTGCGCGTGGTTGACAGTCACATTGACATTAATACATACACTATGTACGTAGTATGTTGGCCAGAAGCGTGGTTAGTGTGGTAGCTCATCCCCCTGAATAACCTGCAGCTGGTTCGATTCCCAATAAACAGATTCTTGGTGCTAACTCATTATTTGCTACCAGATTCTGAAAGCAGTGTTTCACCTTACTCTTACAAATCCACTCCCGTGCTCTCATTTTCGCTCAGTTCCATTGTTCCTCTCGGCAAGCATTGGCGGTATCTAATCCATCTATACTGAAACTTTATTTACTCGTTCGCGTGACTATCATATGATGTAAGATGAAGAACGAAGCGTGGTTTATTTCACGATAAAAAATTGTTCATGACGTCATTTCTGGAGATTCGAATATGCGCTCGCAACTTGATGACGTCATATATTCGACGACGTTATTTTTTAAGGGGAAGTGCCCAATAAGTTGTTCTCGAAAGATATATCTGGGCTACGTAGATAAACGCAGTGGCCGAAAGATCGCATCCAAAAGTGGGCGATATATGACAATCGGTATTAGGAGAAAAGGTGCAGATAATCGACGTGAGGATTGTGAGAATATGCAGGAAATACAAAACTTGATCCACCTGTTCGTAAAATGAACTTGTCCAACATTGCCGAGGTCGGATTCCATTCAGGGAATCATCATTATTTAAATCTGGGTAAAAATATTTAAAGTTTGTACATTGTACATTTTAGTAACATCCTTAAGAGGCTGTACATAATCAATGAGAACTAATCGACTCGTAGTCGTTGTTTATCGTACCATAAAACACTGCAGGGAGAATAAACCACTCGAGGCTGTGCTCCTTATGGTTTATTCTCCCTGCAGAGTTTTACTAGACGATAAACAATATATCAAACTATAATGTGATATTTTTGCTATTAACAATAAAAAGAAGCTTTCTTCCAAATCGCCTCACACTTTGTACGAACAATATGCGGAGCGGTCAGTCGATATACGGTTCACGGTGAAGTACAGTGCAAAATCACCACTCCATTGCTGCTCAAGTTATCAAGCAGGTTCCGGAATAAACCGAATGGATCTAAATGCTCAGCACACTTGCACAAGCACACGCACTCTCATGCATACTCTCACTCTCAGCCACTCCAATTCAATTCACTCACACATGTACACGAGCAATTGAGACCTATTTTCTATGTGGCTACACAATGTCCTCAGGGTTCACTGCGAAGTAGTTGTAACCGCCTATCGTTCAGAATTAAGAATACGTGACTTACCCACATAGTCAGATTAGCCGGTTGTGGTGAGGATGATGGGGAGGAAGTTGGTGTGACTGCCGCCGCTGCTGCCGTGAGACATGGGGTAGGGGATGGGGATGGGGATGCCGTGTTTGCTGTGGTGGGAGTGGTGGCTGCTGTGACAACATTTCTTACAACAACCGCAGGCTTCCGAGAAGACAGCAAAGCAAGCTGAAAAGACAAAAACTTCAAACATAATGTGTCCCAAGGATGAAGTCATCCCTGGCGATATTGTGTTTGTTATGAATAGACAGATGTGGGTGTCATATAGTTCTCTGATCGAGTGGATGATGTTGATTATAAGCCTTCAAAGATTAAAATTCAATCTTTAATGACTGGTCTAAGGTGACACTGTCGGATACTATGGTCAGTATCGGTCAGTATTCAGTCTGGATGCAGCTTATTAACATCAGATTTATATTCACTTGCTCAGTAAACAACATTCGTGGCCTATCTTTCTAGACTTGTTGTAAAATCATATATAACCCGCTACAAAATCTACTTCCGAGAAGACAGCAAAGAAGGCTTAAACAACAAGAATGAAACGTGTCCTCAGCACGGAATAAGTCGCAGCGAATGTTACAATTCCCAGTGGACATGGCGTATAGACATCTGAGCATTGTCTTCATGGCGATACGTTTCAGATGTGGGAGTACAGAGAGCCACATCAGTTGTTGACCTCATGAACCACTATCCACGTTGCCGAAGAGCCTTTGAGCCTAAAAAATATTTTTGAATAACATCCTGCAACAATGTATTTGTTGTGGATGACAATTTCTTTGTTTTCAACAGTCTGAAGCATATTTATTTTTTTTCTAAAATCCCAATGAGGTGACAGGTACAGATCTGTTTCTTGACTCTGATGTAACACATGATAGATTTTGGCCACGCACCCTGCAATTCAGAGTGCAAAAATTTGAAAGTTTCTTAACAGTGCTTAGAAGTATGATAGGAACAATGTAGGGGCAAAGGCAATTTTAGGAGGGGGTCATGATATGCAAGAAATTTATTTTAACCACATTTTCGAATAAATAATACACACACATTCCAATAACAGATAGATACGGCTATTATAAATAGGGCATGCTGGGCGCTTTAAACCATATTCCAGCCGTACCACACACCAGTGCGCCACAATTCGCTGTACAGAGTTGCGTCCCCGGGACATGTCATAAACCTATGATTGTGGCTTCGAATCCGGGTTCGCCCCGTTCATGTTTCTAGGTTTGTCAGCACTATACACGTGTTCGTGGGTTTCACCAAAATGGTAAACGTCTGAGACCTGCATCACTTCATGCTTTCCTCCCACATTAAGCTGATATAACTGGAATACTGTTCAAGACCAACTCACTCACTCACTCACTCACTTCACGCATTGCACTCATGTTGTTAACAGAACTCGTCGTGACGTTTAAGATACTGGTAACCTCACCGTACCCATGTGCCGGAAAAGCCAAAGAAACCCACCGTTTTGTATCAGAACGATCCACGGACAAGCGCCACATTAACCTGTGTGGTTGGTCGTGAAACTTACCAAGCACAAGAACTAGGACAGCCAGGAATTTCATTATGGTCACTTGAACTGAGGAGAGGATGTGACGGGATGAAACCAACTGAATGTAGTGACAGTGTGACTAAGTATTATATATAGGCAAAGCAACACACTGACGCCACAGGCGGGAGATTAGCACAGCTGTACGAAGTTAGGTCTTGGGCAGAAAAACGTGTGTGTGGTGTTTTCATTGACAGATTAAACAGGAAGCACCAACCAGGATATGCAGCTGTGTTGCGTTGAACGTGTAATAAACATCAATATGTTTAAGTGGTTGTCATCACCATCATAATTATCCCATCATTATACTTTCTGTGTGACGATCTGCTAAACAGCTTATCGGTGAATGTATAGTTGTCTCAAGGGTAGGGGCTAACAGAGTGTTGCAAAACGTGTATGTGGTGTTCTGATTGACAGATTAATAGGGAACCTCAAATATGGCATTCATTTGTTTGGTGAACGTGTAATTAATGTCCATATATCACAATCATCATCATCACCATCAACATCTTCATCACGATAGGGGACACGGATGTCCCAGTCGTCCCAGGTTATATCCCATTAGTTAGACGTCCCATTAGTTAGACGTCCCGATTGTTAGACATTTTTATTTGGGCAAAGACGGAATATACCTACAGGTGAAATGGATCAGTCCTAATTAGATTAAAGTACTGAGTGGGGATAGGGGACTCACAGTTTAGGGAGTATGTATGTTACAATTTCATTTAATTATCCTAAATTACCTTACTCTCAGCACAGGTTCAATAGGCATGAGATTAACTATGTAAACTATGGAGTAGCTTAATTGTCTTACTGTATGATCAGCTGAAGGAGTCGAGTTTAGATTATCTACTCATCAAACAAATAAAAATGATCTTGGGGTACGTGTCATTATCGGAATCGATATGGCTGGTCTAAGGAAAGTAGAGTACATCACCTCTCGGCGTGGAAGTAAGCAGTTGATATTAGATGGATATATTTACAACAGAAACCGCGAGAGGCAAACCTGCACACATTGGAGATGTGGAACCATTTCGGAACTGATGGACCCAGAACCAACAACAACCCTGAGGGATTCCACAGCCGACTGAACTACCTACTGCCACATGTTCACCCTAACATCTACAGATTCATTGAAGTCATCCAGAAAGTCGAGTTCAGTGAAAGGACTAAGGTGATGCAATTGAACTTTGGTGCGGCACCACGCTGCCGCAAGAGAATCTACAGAGAGACAGAGAACCGCCTGGTAAGCCTCAAAAATCAGCTGCAGCAGGGTGACAAGTCTGCTATTGAGTATTTAGATGCTTGTGGACACTTGCTTCGTCTGGGATAAATAAACTGTAAAAGTTATTAAATGTTAAGTATAATAGTAAAGTATCTATTTAAAGGTACTTGGCTTTGTTTGTCAGATCTTATCTGGACTATTCCATTTTAAAGTCTGAGGTGACAAGCCTAAGGATTAGTGTGCACTCAACCGTTTAAAGTGTTGTTATAAGCTGTCTAACTATTGGGACGTCTAACTAATGGGAGGACACCTCGTCCCAGGTTCCACAATTCGATGTGCAGAGTTGTGTCTCTGAGGCGCACAAGATAGCTATGATTGTGTACTCCAATCCCTGTTCGCCCTGATTATGTTTGTAGGTTTGTCAGCACCATACCCGTGCTATGGAGTTTCACTAAAGTGGTTACGATCTAAGACCTGCATCACTTTGGGCTGTTCTTCCAAAGCAAGCTGACACGCATTACCTTGATATAACTGAAATTATGTTCAAGGTTGCGTTAAAACCAAACTCAGTCACTTACTCATCATTATAATTCTAAAAGCCTAAACCACTACAATAAATATCAATGTCCATGTCCACCAAAGCATGCTCATTGCGCTCACAATCATTACTCCACTCAATATACATTCTCAGCTCCCTGAGGAAGTTACATGATCAAGCTGTCTTTTAGGCTCTAGAATTTTTGCATTGACTTATCATTCCTATTCCCAACATTGTTTTTGCTAGTGGTGTTGTTTATTCTGGAGCAGGTCTGAAGCCTTAGAAACATCTCAATAAACATGTTCATCAAAGGACATTCTCTACATTTGTATGAAGGCGTGATATTACTAGAATATGGTTAAAAGTGATCAAAATCTTTTTCACTCACTTATCTACCAGACTTATTGTTATCACGAGCATGATCTTAATCAGTGAAAGCTTGTTTTGGACGTGTAAAACGTGTACATTATTCTCGTTGCCATGATTATGTTTATTGGGTAGACCTCTTCTTAACAAATTCTCTTTGTTTATCAGAAAATATCCTTACACTGGAATGATTCGTGAAGCCTTCGTTTGGTGTTCCTCCGTTATATTGCTGAAACCGGCATAAGAAGATATTCAACCCTTCCCTTGACAGATGAACTCCAGTTAAACAGAAACTTCAGTTGACAGTGGGGGCTACAGATCTATAACTGTGAGAATTATGTTAATCCACTGGTCAATCCTTATATACATGAAGTAGGCGTTCATTACTTTGTCTAGCAGACCATAACATCCCCATATTCCAGCTATATACCCATAGCTTCATTTCAAATTAAAACCCATCGCCTGAAAAGTCTCAATGAAAGGACACATGAAACGAGTAACGACGCCATGTTTGTCTGTATTCTACCTTGGCGAAACGAACGTGAATTCTTTGTTAGAAAAGACAATGAGAGGCGTGGCTGCGGATTAATTAAGAAATAATCGACGAGTGGGAGTTGTTTATCGTACGATAAAACACTGCAGGGAGAATACACCACTCACCGTTTATTTCTTAAATGCGATATCAACATAATGTACAGTCTCTCGGCAATGTCGGACAAGTCCATTTTACGAACAGGTGGGTTATGTTTGGTATTTCCCGCATATTCTCACGATCCTCACGTCGATCATCTGTAGCTTTTCTCTCAATATCGATTGTGATATCTCTCCCACTTTCGGATGCGATCGTTCGGCCGCAGCGTTAACAGGAAGGCAACTTTCATGACGCTAATTTATAAAAATTATGTTTAGCATGTTATGTGCAATCAGTGGAGCACAAACGCCAATACCTGGCAAATAAATATTAAACCTCCACCCATTGAACAGATGAATCCGGTTTTGAAATTATCATGACACAAAAATAGGAATATTTTGAACACGGTCTGTGATTCACCAATCAGATTCGAGAATGTGTCATTATGATTACTGTTCAGATGTTTCACATAGCTGTGACATGTGTGAATAACACTCTCCATCCCTCTGTCCATCATCTTGTACAGCTCTCTGTTCTTACATCATGCACCCACTCTTCTCCCCTTGACCTGCATGAATGCAGTTATTTTGAAGATAAACACGATCTTTTGGATATTGCCACTGTTATGACTTTTAGTGTGGGAGTTACTTACTTAACTTAGAGCTCTTCCACCCTGATAATAATTAAAGTGTGACGCTATAGTTGCTTGTCTGCTTATTGTCTGTTTACATGTATACATACAAGCTGTTAATGCTACCCCTTATTCCATAGTCTTGATGTCTGAGAGTCACTCCAGAAATGACAACGTCTAAATATAGACTGAAAATGGCCAATCGGCTGAAGCATAGCCTCCCTTTAAGCAAGGTCGGCGCTTTCTTTCTAAGGATAAATAAACAAAACAAATTCCGGTGAATGTTCAAAGCCGTGCTCACAATGTGCAGTGTTTTAATATATACCGATTCTCACGGACGAATTTGTGTGTCAGTATTTATGAGTACCACTTTCATAATGTTGTCATAAGATAGGCTTTACAAGCATGCACAACAATTTAATCAATTTGTATTATATGAAAGGAGAAATATGTGTGTTTGTTCATGGGCACCTGTGTACCACCCACTCCTGGGGTCTCTTCTTCAAGAACATATCTGGTCATCGAACCATGAAGTGACAAAGTAAATTTGATGCTGGTAACCTAAATGTAGTTGTCTCCTAAATCAACACCAATATATCGATATCGATCGAGTTGATATTGTTGATGGCATTGTGAATTCACCAGGACATTAGGTAACATAAGGTTTGAAAAGAAATCAAAATTTCAAATTCAAATTCTGCATAGCAATTTGTGCGTTCCTTACTCGAGTTACAGTGATATATCTGATAATGTGCAACCATTAGGGATGTACCGCAGATTGAAATTGAAAAAAATGTGTGATTTTCTCTTTGATTCCAATACGCCTCAATAACAGCCTCAAAGCACAGTTGTATCGGTCTGTCTTTACAAGGGGCTTGTTGTAGCCATATCACCTTATCTATTATTTTCAGTTATCGATAAATTGATATGATCATGGTAACTTTTTGTTGTTGAGTAACTGTGTGTTCGGTCTGAAGTAACACATTTCAAATTGTCTGCCTTCTTAATGATAGCCCGGACCAATTCTAACCCGGAATATGAACACATAATCAGTCTATATATCGTTTTACATTTTAGTGTTATGTAAGAAATTAAGTCAATATTTACATGATAAAGGAGTACCGTATTCGTCGTGTATGCATTGCTGTGAAAACTCATCAACATTCCTTTAAAGCTCAGTAGCAACTACCTATGCTGAGGCAACTTCAAAAGAAATCTTTGGGGCCGAAACTTTAAAACTGACCCCAACTGTTTTGCAAAACAAAGATCGGTGACTTTGCGTGCTGGCGATTAGATGCCCCACTCTGAAAGTGTGGGTTCGAAGACAATAACAGTGACGGAGTTGGGTTTAAAGCCGTTTTGGACAGTATTTCAGTTATAACACGGTGTGTGAGCTGGACGTAGGAAATTCACTTTGTTGAAACCGACGAGCACGGCCATGGTGGTGACAATCATTACCAACATCATCAGAGAGAACAGGGATTCGAACCAACCATCAATGGTTTCTGACACGCCCAAGGGACACAACTCCGCACAGCGATTTGCGGCGCCTGTGACGACTCGGACACCGCTGGTTCCCCATTGTCAGCAGTTTGCGCTGAACACAGTGTAATGATGCTTCTTACAATCAACATAAAGTTAACCTTTTTCAAAAATAAGCAACACTTAAATTGTGACATCCAAGGTTTATTAGACACGAGCTGAGGTTGTAATGTGGTTGTTGGAAGTATCTCTGCAGCAAACATCTGAAGTAGAAAAACGACGGTGACAAATGTGCAGGTCCTTTTCCTCTGGAACTGGGCGTGGCTGACGGCATGGAACATTTGTTCATGCTCTCAACAGTTTTACAGACTGCGGCATAAATCAACATTCACTCTTTCTTTCAATGATATAAACATATTAAGTGTCCAAACCATGAGCAATTTTGGTAAAAGGTTAACTTTCGCATGTCTTTGGGGTACTTTCTGTTTCCAACCTTCAATTTCAAGCACATATTAAACCCCCATTAATACGTACACATATAATATCAGGAACATAGTTGACTTTTTGAATGAATTGATTTATATATTACCTATTCTTTTATCCGGTTGTGGTGAGGATGATGGGGAGGAAGTTGGTGTGACTGCCGCCGCTGCTGCCGTGAGACATGGGGTAGGGGATGGGGATGGGGATGCCGTGTTTGCTGTGGTGGGAGTGGTGGCTGCTGTGACAACATTTCTTACAACAACCGCAGGCTTCCGAGAAGACAGCAAAGCAAGCTGAAAAGACAAAAACTTCAAACATAATGTGTCCCAAGGATGAAGTCATCCCTGGCGATATTGTGTTTGTTATGAATAGACAGATGTGGCTGTCATATAGTTCTCTGATCGAGTGGATGATGTTGATTGTAAGCCTTCAAAGAGTAAAATTCAATCTTTAATGACTGTGGTCTAAGATGACACTGTCGGATACTATTGTTCGGTCAGTATTCCGTCCGGATGCAGCTTATTAACATCAGATCCATATTCATTTGCTCAGTAAACACCAAGAACAGATTTCACATATTTTGCCGATTTTGAGATTTGAGATGTTTCACCGATATTGGGATTCGTCGGTGTGACAAGCCAGCTCTAAAACCGGTAGTCTGTTTCCGTTATTGGTTCCCATGGAATATGTATTAACATTAAACAAAGTCAATCATGGACACGCGCCACATCAGGTCGTGAAACTTACCAAGCACAAGAACTAGGACAGCCAGGAATTTCATTATGGTCACTTGAACTGAGGAGATGATGAGACGGGATGAAACCAACTGGATGTAGTGACAGTGTCACAAAGTATTATATATAGGCAGAGCAACACACTGACGCCACAGGCGGGTGATTAACACAGCTGTACAATGTGAGGTCTGGGGCAGAAAAACGTGTGTGTGGTGTTTTCATTGACAGATTAAACAGGAAGCATCAACTAGGAAAACGTTGGACGTGTAAAATACATAAATATATTTTTTGTATATATATTTTAAAATATAAATATATTTTAAATTATTGTCACCACCACCTCCATCCCGTTCACTATACTAATCATCATGGCAATTATCATACTGTGTTACCCTCTAAAATCTAACAGTTTTTCAGTGAAGGTCTAGTTGAACCAACAGTATATGGTAGTAAATGATCCATTCTAATCACATACAAGGGCGGTCGGGTAGCCTAGTGGTTAAAACGTTCGCTCGACACGCCGAAGACCTGGGTTCTATTCCCGACATGGGTACAACGTGTGAAGCTCATTTCTGGTTTCCCCACCTTTATATTGCTGGAATATTGCTAAAAGCGGCGTAAAACCATACTCACTCACTCAATCACTCACTCTTAATCACATGTTGTTGTCATCGCTATCATCATACGGCGCGGCTCCTTACTATGCCTATTAGAACATCAAGGGATATGTCATCAATCTGCGGGGCGGTAGGGGAGTCTGGTGGTTAAAGTAGTGGCTTGTCACGCTGGTTGGATGGCACACGTGTACAATGTGTGAAGACTTTTCTTGGTGTCTAGATTCCAGACGAACGTAAAGGTTCTCACACACTTATTACACTTAATTGTATGACATTACCGGACATAATTGGTGTTGTTTATTTCATTATCTTGCAGACGGCCAACGTGACGTCATTTCATCACATCATCTCTCAGACACTTGACATCAACAATCAAAATGTATATGAGTTGAACGGATTTTCTATGTTTAAATATCTAAGGTTGGCGTAGTTTGATCACATTTTGAATTATCTACACATCTTGACCCAATATATTTGAAACGAACTGACGACCAAAGAGGGCGTGTCTTGACCCAGTATATTAAAGACGAACTGACAACGACCAAAATGGGCGTGGCTTGACCCAATATTTTAAAGATAAACTGATAAAATTATACTATTTAGTCTTTTGTCTTATCAATGTTTTCATTTAAAATCCATTGACAAAACCCATACCTGGTTACAAGAGACAGAGCGACAAGTCCTAAAAGAGGGCTGGTGCAATGACTCAATTAACAATGTCAGTATCGGGTGTGACCCCCATTTGTGTTGCTACAGCCGAGGCCGCGGTGGTTTATTGAAGACAACAGATTGTTTTATACAGCCTGTGGGTGTTGCTTGAAATATCAACCAAAGATTGACCCAACTGAGGGCTCTACCGACTGGTTCTGTTCCTGTCGTAGGCGTCATAAAGTCTTATCCCAGACATTGTCTATGGGAGAGAGGACTGGAGAAACAGACAGCCATGGCAGAACAGCAATGTTTCTTCATCAGAAAGTATGTCACAACACGTGCAAAATGTGGGCTAGCATTATCCTGCTGCAACGTGACCTTGCAACCCTGCATTTGCACAAGGGGTAGAACATGATCTCGAACGATGTCGTCCCGGTACTGTACACCATTCAAATTGCAATAAACATATATGAGCTGTGTTCTCCCATGGGTTGTAATGCCACCCCATACCATTACACTTCCACCCCCAAACTGACGATGTTGAGTAAAGCAAGCGCCTCTAAACGTTCTCCTTGCGCAACAATCAGAGTTGTCCACATGAAATCTGGACCCGTCTGTGAACAGTATACTGTCCAAGTCTTTTCTTCTGACCCCCAGAAGCTGTCTACACAAAGCTAGGCGTGCCGGACGATGACGTGGAAGCAAAATTGGGCCTATCGCTGAACGTCGGGATCGGATGTTGTGTTCGCTTCAGCTACTAATTGGCCTCAACCTACGAATTGTCCGAGCTGTCAATGTGGCAGTTTGGTAACGATTCTGTAGATGCACTAACTGAATATGATTGTCTTTTTGGGGTGGACAACTTGCCCGTGGCAAGTTATGAGTGTTACAGTGAACAGCAGTTAGTTAGCTTCGATGAACATTGAAATGTCTGGCAACTTGGTTTTCCACCATTATCGTTTGCATCATACTCACGGCGCGTAGGCGTTGATTTTCAGCAATTGGCTTAGCGTAAGAGTTCTTTACGGTTAAACAAAAGTGTTATTATGAACACCTGACAGCCAAATAAACATTGTGTAAGTTCACATTTAAAAAATCCATGTGTGTGAGAATCATACTCTTAATAAACACACAAACATCCAAAATGTGTGCCGTGCATTCACATGCACGTTCAAGTTGTGAATCACGACCTTCAACGTCTCCATGAATATGAATTGAAAGATGTATTATTTAATTTCAAAATCAATTCATTTTTATTAAACTTATAAACGCACAGTTACTTTTTTCCCTTGGTATGTTAGTGGACAATCGATGAAACATGCCATGAGCACGGTTGTCGTCATTTAGACCAGCAAAACCTATTCCAAGGAATCGCTTCCTGCACCGGTTTAATCCACCACTCTCGCGCTTCTCTCCACGGGATGACCAGGTGCAACTGTGATGATCTTCCTTCTAGTGGCTTCTCTCCACGGGATGACCAGGTGCAACTGTGATGATCTTCCTTCTAGTGGCTTCTCTCCACGTGAGAGACGTGACCTGCTGGGATAAGCTCCTACCAATGCTTCAACGTCACTTTATGAATTATTTATATAAAATCGACAGAGCAGAACTCTTCACGTCACTTCTTGCACGTCTCCTCTAATGTCTACATCTACAACCACGACATCGAACTGACATGAAGTGTGTAGCAGTTGTTGTTTTACTCTTCGGTAAGTAAACTTTTTACTTTTGCACTATTTTTCTATTTTAGCAGAACTGTTTTTCTCCATCTGTATCCCGTTGAATCTTTTCAAAAACCGAATTTTGGCCGCCGTGGTACTTAAGCACCTGACACCTGTGAGCATGTCGGGTCTGAAATAGATTCTTTGTAGAGACGACGACAATGACGACAGGGTGACTGGGTTCGATGACTCGGTTAAGTGTGTTACGTGCCTGGCAGTGTGTGACGCTGTTCATCATATCAACCACTGGTTTTCTTCGTCCATTTTCGATCATATGGAGGCCTCGGTAATATAGCTGACATAACCCTGACTGCTGATTCATTCAATCAAGTCTACCAGAATCCGCGCTAGCGCAAAAACATCAAGTAACGACCAAAAGGGAAGTCTTACTGATTTAGCAAAGATCTTAGCTAATGAAGACCTATTTGTGTCAATAAAATTGTCGGAATAACACATCTGAGGCAGTCAAGCATAACGAAAAGGGAGTATATACTTTGCTGGTGGAGAACACACCCCACATCACTGCAGGGCCGGGGAAGCATCTCTGTGCATCGTGTATATACAGTAAAGTACGGTTATAACGAACTCAAAGGGACTACTTATTTTAGTTCGTTATAACCGTAGTTCGTTATAAGCATATATGCAGCATAACTACAGCAAATAGTCGGGACCAAAAAAGTAAGTGCGTTATATCCGTCAGTTCGTTATAAGCGTGTTCGTTATAACCGTAGTTTACTGTACTGTATTGATGAACTTCTCGCGATCAACATTTAAACTAGACATGCCTGATTCAATACCATTGAGTATGTTATGTTATAATTACAACGTTTTCTTTCAGCCTGCTTTGCTGCTTTCTCTAATGCCTGCTGTTGCAGCCACAGCAGCCACCACTCCCACCACAGCAAGCACGGCATTCCCATCCCCATCCCCTACCCCATGTCTCACGGCAGCAGCGGCGGCAGTCACACCAACTTCCTCCCCATCATCCTCACCACAACCGGATAAAAGAACAGGTAATATATACACCCATTCATTCGTCAAGGGTGATCTCTACATAAGAAACTGATAAAAATTAGGAATTTTCCCGATATTATTTGTGTACGTTAATTGAAATTGAAAGTTTGGAAACTAAAAATATCCCAACGCCACATAAAAGCTTTGGCTTTTTATGAAACTAGAAAATAGCACATGAGTGGTTTGGTAAAGGTATGTATGAATGTTGATTAAGAAAATGATTAAAATGACACTAAACACCAGATACAAGACGATCTGATCGGTAATCAAAATCTATTTAAGAAAAAATTACTCGTGGTCGTTGTTTATAGTTCAATAACACACTGCAGGGAGAACAAACTATGAGGTGTGCATCGTTTATTCCTTACATGAAACATCAACATTGCTACAGCCTCTTTGAGGATATTAGTAGAAAGGACACGCTTTAAAAATAATTATACGTATTTAAATAATGATGACTCCCTGAATAGAATCCGATCACGGCAATGTCGGACAAGTTCGTGTTATGAACAGGTGGGTTACATTTGGTCTTTCCTGCATTATCTCACAATTTTTACGTCGATTATCTTTCTTCCAACCTTTTCTTCCAATACAAATTGTCATATCTGCCCCACTATTGGAAACGATCGTTCGGCCATTGCGTTTACCTACGTTGCCCAGCAACATCTATGGGAAACAACTTACTAGACACTTCCCTCTAAAAAAAAACTGGTCCAATTTACGACGTCCTCAAGTTGCCAGCTCATGTTCGAATCTCCAGAAATGACGTCATGATAGAACAATGATTTATTCGTTCTTCATTGTTCTCTGCGATTTATCGCGTAGATATCTTACAGTTCAAATTATTCTCACATTTTTGAAGATGTGACGGACAGGCTTTATTACGTTTGTAATTGTAATTGTAGTTGAAGCTCCCCACCCTCGAGAGCGCGTGTAAACAGACGTCCGATATTGAATAAATTCACTACAACATAATTCTTCTTCTTCTTCTTCTTCCTCTGTGTTGCACCAATCAAACGTAACTTTTAGTTTAATTATAGTCGTGTCCTTAGATACTGGTCGTGACACAGCTCTATACAATGATGACG